TACACACTACTTCTACCGGGTACACACTACTTCTAGCAGGTACACACTACTTCTAGCGGGTACACACTACTTCTACCGTGTACACACTACTTCTACCGGGTACACACTACTTCTACCGGGTACACACTACTTCTACCGGGTACACACTACTTCTACCAGGTACACACTACTTCTACCGGGTACACACTACTTCTACCGGGTACACACTACTTCTACCGGGTACACACTACTTCTACCGGGTACACACTACTTCTCAGGGCCACCGTCCTTCAGGACTGAACTCTGTCACTATTGTGTGTGCAGGTGGTCCACTTTGTGTTCCAGTACCTGAAGATGCTGCAGACTCTGGGTCCTCAGCAGAGGTGAGACTCACCTGTCGGCAGGCTTTCTACTGCACATGCTCAGCTCAGTTACACTGGCTTTCCTTTATGTATATTAAACCTATGCATGTGTTAGCATTAGCTCATCTTCCTGTTATTTACTGTAAGAAGCTAGCTGATGCTGATTAGCTTTGCTGTGAACATCTGCATCATTATATATATATTATATATAACACAATCATCAACAAGGAAGAAGGACCTGATGTCAGTAAATGCATCATAGATTAGCTGTAGTCTTCTAAAAATACACCTGACTTGAAGTTCAGTCAACAATGAGGCAGAGTTAGTGATCATCAAGATATAAGTACAACATGATGTGTCATTTCTTAGAAGGAAGCTAGACAGGAAACCAGTAACTTCATCTGTTCTCATGTTGAATCTGTTCCTTAGAGTCTCCTCACTGTAAAAAGTTGTTGTCAACTTGTGTTCCAGGATCTATGAGGAAATTCAGAAGATCGAAGCCAATGAATTCCACTATCAGGAGCAGGTACTGCAGAGACACACTGTGGAACTCTGAGAGTGAATTCATGTGTTCACAAGTCAGAAGCGGAGATACTGAAGCAGCAGCAGCAATAATGAGACAAATAGAAATAATAGACTTAACGTTGTTTTTGTTTTATACAGAATATTGTTTCTGGAGTATGACATGAGACTGGCAGAACAAAGTGGTTCAGATGAAGCATCAGGATTTTAAGCTCAGATTCGGTTAATTTCCTGATGGAACCACTTTTTTGTCCTGATGAGTTCAAGAACCAACAGAAAGCAGGGAAATGTCATGACTCTTGGTGTCTTCACAGTTTCTATCTAATAAATGCTGTTAAAGACATGTTATCTCTTAAAAATCACTATAACGGCTCCGTTTATCAGACAAACTGTAAAAACAGATATTGAACTTCACTACGGTCCTTGAACTAACCACCAGCAGGTGTCCAGGTTCAGAAGGTTCAGTGTGAAATTTTAAATAAATAAATGTGAGTTTATTTGCTTTGCTGTAAAAATATTAATTTAAACTGAACTAGAACTAATGAAATATAGAAAATTCGACACTTGAAGTATTAAAACTGCAGTTTTCCTCCTCATGTACCAAATATTTATATCAAAGTGGTTTTAATCTGCAGTCATTCATCAGGTTTCTCGTGCGTTACTTTGCACAAATGAGCCGATTGAACATGTTGGCTGTAGCGCTGGTACCAGTCTAAGGGAGTCCAACCTATAACCTGCTGCTCTGGTTCTGGTTCTGTCTCACAGACGGATCCCATTGAATTCGTGGAGAACATCTGTGAGAACATGCAGCTGTTTCCTGAACCGGACTTCCTGACCGGAGACCAGCTCATGTTCGAGTACGACCCCCAGGTACCAGAACCACCATCCAGAACCTGATCCAGACTCTTATCCAGACTGATCCAGAACCTGGTCAAGATTGATCCAGACTCTGATCCACGCTCAGATCCAGAGTCTGAACCAGACTTTAATCCAGACTCTGATCCAGACTGATCCAGAATCTGATTCAGACTTTAAACCAGACTCTGATCCAGACTGATTCAGA